TAGGTCCCATGAGGATGAATCTGTGGGGCAATGAATTGCTAAATGCCAGCTGAGCTGAAATGAGCAGAGTTGCTATGCATTTCTGCCCCAGGAACACTCAACCTGTTATACCATATGGCAGAACTGGGAGTGGCATTGATTAAAACAGCCATTGGTCGGCTTTCTGTCCACCAAAGCCTTCACATTTTTGAGATGGGCTTCTCATATGTATATCCTAATAAACTAATAAAATATGGAGATCTTTTATTAGTTTCAGATTTCATTGTTTTTTTCTCGAGCTAGGAGGTATGTATTTATATGGTCCAATCTGACGTTTAATTGTTTTTCTATTTTTAGTCTTTCAAAGTATATATTCCATTGGAGGGAGGTGGGATGTGCTTTTGAATTTGGGAACAAATGACGGTCACACTTAATACTGTCATTAACATAAGAGGTTTTGTCCATGAGCCTAATGTTACTAATTGCCAAGGAAGAATTATAATATTATTTTATGGATAAGAGACTATAGGTGAGAGCAAAATTATGGAAACAAAAGTAGGAGTTAATTCTTGTTAATTACAGTTAATTCTGATAATTGTGTGATCTTATTAGATCACCCAATTGTATCTTTTTTTTTTTTTTTAAATATATTTTTTATTGATTTCAGAGAGAGGAAAGGAGAGGGAGAGAGAGAGATAAAAACATCAATGACGAGAGAGTCATTGATCAACCGCCTCCTGCACGCCCCCAACTGGGGACCAAGCCTGCAACCCAGGCATGTGCCCTGACTGGGAATCGAACCCCGATCGCCTGGGTCCTAGGTTGATGCTCAGCCACTGAGCCATGCCCAGCTGGGCCCCACTGGTATCTTAATTTCTATTCTTATTTATTTTACCTGATCTATTAGCATACTAAGTTTCATGAAAGTATTTAGTGAAAAATATAAAATAAAGCAGAAAATTATGTGAATTATTCAGATAAGCTAGGCTATCCTTATAACCTAAAGAGCCTTTGAGGAGCATTACCTTTATGTTGATCACGTTATTTGGCTCTAGTGCAGTAATGGTAGAAATAAATAACAAAAAATAAATAAGCAACTCTATATAGAGATATAAAAGTGTAGTTCCCCCAAACTCATGGTTCATAAAATAAAACATGATAAATTAGGATGTATTTAGAACTGAATGATAAAAAATCACTATAGAGAAACTAGTGGCATGCAACTAAGGCAATACATAAATAGAAATATATAATCTTAAATGTTTATATTAGATAAGAAGAAAGCCAGAAAATTAATGTGCCAGGCATCCAACTTAGGGAGTTAAAATAAAGTGTAAAAAAGGAAATAAGAAACATGAACAGAAATAAAAAAAATAGGAGATAAACTATATTAGGAAATCAATGAATTCAAAGGTTATTTTTCTTTAAAGACTAATGAAATAGACAAACCTCTGACAAGACTGATCAATAAAAAATTAGAGAAGGCACAAATAAATATCAGGAATTAAAAAACCATATGCACAGATACAGAATAGGTTACAAAAATTATAGAGGATATTAAAAATAGCTATAGCAGGATATTTGAAAGCTTTGATATATAATTTACTATAGTAAATTTTTGTAAATATATAACTAATTGAAAATGATTCAGAAGTAACTAGAAAGTCAAAATAGTTCTAAATCATAGGTCAATGCTCAACCACTAATCCACGCTGGCTGGGCTATATCATCATTCTTGGTATGTTAACATGTGATATATCTATATATTCCTCCATATCAGTTCAATATTTAATAAAACAATTTGAAAAATATTTGATATACACTCAGCTGTTGTCTCCTTAGCCAATAACCTTTTTCTTCTAATTCTTAATTAGTTATTGCTGCTGCTGTTTTATTTTGCCACCTTCGATTTAGGGATTAATTAAGCTGACCTATTAAAGAAGCTTGTTCAGAAAAGAGAAAGTATTTCTTCAGATTGCTGGGCATGTGGTATGGAGGGTAAGGGTGGAAACCAGTATTTTGCATATAGCAGATGATCAGAAAAAGGACTGGATTTGAATTAAAATAAAAAAAAAAAAAAGTAAAATTGACTTCAACTTCCCTTGAGCCCTTGAGCTATAAAACACTTGGTTTCAGAATTCCTGGTGGCCTTTTCCTTCCATGTAGTTGCTGCACCTGTCTGGAAGCTATTTCCTGATATCCCACCCCTTGAGGGATCCTAGGGCAGCCGATAGCGGGCCAAGGTTGGTGCTGGTCTCGAGAGAGGCAGTGTGGCGTGGAGCCAAGGGGTTTGGCTGCCTGGCCTCTGGGATTGCTGCAGGAGCACAGGCGGAGAAGCCGGACACGGAGGCCAGGCTGGCAGAATGAGAAGAAACTGAGGGTGGAACAGTTCCCAGCAGTTCTGGGCAGTGCTGCCAGGCAATCTAGTTAAGTTGTTTCTGAATAATTAACTTGAGGACCTTAATTATCTAGATTCATTATCAGCGATCAGCACCTTCATTACCACCATGATTACTGCCACCAAGAGCATCTTAAGCAAAGCAGTAGATGCTGTTCAAAGTCTGTTTTAAAATCTGAGTGCTCTCATACAGTGAGGATGAAAATGTGGTCAAGGAAGGTACAGGCAAATGAACCAACATCAGCTAAGAGTGCTGGCTTAGTGGCAGATTCGATTGCTGTACTCACTGGCTGTTTTTCAGTTTGCTTTTGACTTTGTAGACCAAAACCATACAGATTGATTTAATAAGCCTTGGCATCCCCTTTGCATAAATAAAGCCTGATGAAAATGATTTACTTCTAGTCCACATTTTAATTATTTTAAATCTCATGGTTACTGCGATCATACTTTGAAAAATATTGAAAGTAGTAATTTAAGAGTTTCATAAATCTTATTGGTGCATAATGCAAAGCTAATTATTTGCTCCTTTAAGTCCACAGGTATTGCCAATATGTAATAATCCCACGTGTATTACCTCCTTTAATATGACTATTTTCAACTCTATCTTAACACAGATTTCCTCTTGTGGGCTTGGCTATTCTCTGCTTCTCCAAATATCTCATATATGATGCTATGTAAACTGTGGGGTGTAGGGGAGAGAGTATGACCTCAGGTTCAAACCCTGATTCCATCACTGGCTAGTTGTTGGACTTGGAATGTATTTAAAATCTCTGAGCCTCAGCTACCCATCTGTAAAATGGGCATAATAGCCCCTATCTGGTAAATTGAAAGAGAATAGTTCATGTAAAACACACAACTGACAAGGTTTTTGTAATTGTTTGTAAATGCCAAACCCTTTCTTTGTAAGAAAAGATATAGAGCAAAATGTATTTAATTAAACTTTTGGATGAGAATAAATAGAAGGTGAAACAAATACATCTTACTTCACGGGCTCTAATGAAGCCTTTAGAATCTCAGGAGGGCTGGCCACTGATAGTCACCATATTCCCGCAGGGCAACAAAATCTCTGCCCTTCTGCACCATCATGGGTAGTGGACTTTTTTAAAAAATAAGGACATGAGGAAATTGAATATAAAATATGGAACTTTGAAATGATACATGGAACTTTAGTCTCATAGTAAAAGTCTTGCTGGAAGATGGTTCAACTTATTTGGCTGGAAAGTGAATGAAAAATAGCTTGATTAAGCATTGAGAAGCGTGTGAAAATCTAGAGATGAACAAAGACAGTGAGTTTTCAGCTGATCTGCTTGTATTTTGATGAATACTGGGAGTTTTTTTGAACTTTGTTCAAACACTAGTTGCCTTCTGGTCTGTAATTTTACTCAGACATCATATCATTACTTTTTTCCATAATTAAGATAGTATATTACAAAGCACTCAGAAAATGGAGAATTGAAAAACATGCTTTTCCTTCCGTTCTTTTTCTTATGTGTATCTTTTTGGTGGCTGCAATCATTGTTTGTATGTAATTTTTCCACTTGACTTATAGTGAATATTATGACAAAATAATTTAAAATGCTAAGTGATATACTTATTACATTCTATGATTTATTTAATAGTTTTTCTATTGTGAATATTAAAATTGCTTCCACACTTTTGCTGTAATATATAATTAATGAACAATTTTGCTTTCAGAATTTTTCAAAGACTTTTGTCTGTAGGGAAATGCACATTTAAAAAAGAAAAAGAGAGGTACCAGCTCACAAAACTACACTGCAGTACACTTCCCTCAGGTCTTTCCTCTTGTGCCCAGTGTAATTTATCAATCCTGATTTCTATTCCGACCTGCAGGCAGGTGAGCTGCAAGTGAATGCTGGTATCGGCAGTTCTGTTTAAAAGTTAGCTTCACCAGACCTTAGTAATAGTACAAGGCCAAGGAGAAAGAGAGAGCCGCAGAAGAAAGCGAATATTTAAAACTGGCCAGAGCATTTCATGAATGCATTTACTACCTAACCTAAACCCACGTGGGAGGGCTGGATTGTGCTGTGTATTTGTTGCTATTTTATTAACACTGCCTTTGCCCTTTAATCTTTCTTCTTACTCCCCTGTTTCTCCCCTACCCGACAATGCTCTTTCAAGGAATTTGAGGGCTCCATGAACTTGTCCATTCTTTTTACCCTCTCACGGTTTCTGCTTTCCTTCCCTGCCATATGTCCAGTATCTTGAAATGTAATTTTCATCATTTCAGTTCAGCAAGCACTGATCATTGACTATGGGCCAGGTACAGTGGCAGGTCCTGGAAATTCAAGGGAGAGTGAAGCATAGTCTGTGCTGGCCAAGAGGATGGTGGGAGGTTCTGACTGAATGGCTCTCTGGAGGCAGGGATGGAGTTAGCTAAGTGCCGAGTGGGTGTGCATGTGCATGGACAAGGGCGTTTCTCACAGCGAACAGGCTTTGCAAAGCTACGTGGTGGGAGCGAGTGTGAGGAGTGCAAGGAGGAAGGTCAAGAAGTCTGAAACCCCATTCCCTCAACAGAAAGCCCAGCCTACATTAACTCGTGCAAAACAGAAAGCTGGGGTGTCCAAAGCTTTCCGGTTGGCACTCTGCCTGGGTAGTCAGTTACCTTTTCTCATCGTGTCTGTAAGATGAAGAGGTCCGGCCGCTGGTCCATATAAACATCTTAGAGGATGTTGGTCCAGAGGCTCCTTTCCTTAGGGTGGAAGTCCTGGAGGAATGGTGAAAAGACCTGAAAGAGATACACACTGAAGTTCAGTCCAGTCCATTACTTTAAATTTTGGGAAGTCTGTGTCAACAGCAACCTCTAACTCTCAGTGGATTGGCCTTTAAACACGACCAGGTTTCTGAGACCTGAGGGGCAGCAGGTCTCAACCTTGGCTGCACATTAAAATCAACTGGGAATCTTTTCAAAAACACTGAAGCATGCCCCCTTCCCCAGAAATGTGCATTCAATGTTTCTAAAGCTTCCCAGTTGTTTCTAAGGTACCGCTGGGGTTGGCAGCCGCTGCCTTAGGGCAACATGTGTGTTTTTCTAGTTGAGGTTAATATCATATTCTCTCCAAAATGCCTCCTCCAAAAAGGTAATTTTGGTATGCTTTCACCCTGTAGTATAGTACGATTTCACACTCTGTAGTACACTGTATTTTTCCAAAATTTTGGCTTAGATTTGGATACTAAATTTTTTTTCTCCTTTCTCTCCAAAATGTTTTTCTTGAAGCTGACAGATGTGACATTTTGGGGACGGAGCATCATTTTTTAAATGTGCTCTACTGTTGCCAAAGTTGTGGGTTTGTCCCCTTGCAGCTGAGTGTCTGAGAAAATCACAGCAGCGGTGGCAGCAGATAGTCACTGGCTCCTAGAGGCCAGGCTTAGGGGATCTAAAATCAAGATATTAGAAGAATGTTGTGTTCTTTTGGTTATGACTTGACTTATTAATCAATGTTACCCCAATAAATTTAATTAAAAAACATAAATTAGAATAGACATTAAGTTCATTAGTATTAAAACAAGTCAGCCTTCAGGAAAGAAGAATGATTTTAATCTGTTGAATGAATCACTTCATAAGAATGAGGATTGGCTTAAACTTTTAGGAAGTTATTTCAACATTGACTCTGGGAGAATCTTCTGATCGCTTTAGTCACCCTTGAAATGGTTGGGGACTTGGAGGAGACAAAGAAAAGTGGCACAATTTGAGTCTAAATAAAGCAACAAATGACCGCGTTCCTGGCCTATTATTGTTTTTCAGCCTGCATTTAATAGACACACCACACATATTATAAATGCTTTGAAACCAGTCAGAGTGAAAGGGGCTGCAGTGATTTCAATACACTTAGGATACTTTCCAGGCTGTGTAGCATTATTCCAGTGTTGCACCCTTGCTCTGTTGCTCTAAGAGAATAAAGAAAGGGGGAGATGAAAGATATATTTATTCTAATGAACTGTCTAAGGCGTGCTGGAAAGGGCTTATTGACTCCACAGGTTATTCCAATAAGTGGATTTGACTTTCTTTACCCCAGTCCCCCATAAAGACACAGTTATTTAAAACCTGCTAACTTTGTCCTTAATTAGAAGGGAAGGAAGTAGCTGCTTTAAGGACAACAGTGTAAAGGTTTTTTGGGGTTGAAAACAATTTCCAGGCTTCAAAGAAACACTTGGATTATGTTAATGAAGCTGGTTTGGAGGTTCTCTCAGCTCAAAGGCAGCCCTCCTGAACTCCTTACATAATTACCTCGGCTCTGCTCACTTTATAAGACAAGGAAGATTTCATTTGAATTGTGATTAGGGAAAGTTATATAGAGACAAGAAAAGCACTTTATAAAATTTGTGATTTGGAATCCTAGCATGAAACAGAGAGCCGTGTTGGTGGCTGCTCTGGGCTCTGGGCCGGGGAGAGGAAACCTGGGTCTAATTCTATCATTGAATGACATAGGAACTGAGGTGAATTGGGCAGAGCCATGACTATACACATCTGAAAACCAGAAGTCTGAAAGATGGACTCTCAGCCTTGAATGAAAGTGGGGAGTCAGTGGGGAGTCAGACAATTTCTTTGTCTCAGGAATCTATAAAAGGGTCTTTTCCATTTTTCAGGCATACATATTGTGGGCTTCTATCTCCCCGACTCAGTCATCCTTTCCCTCTGCCTCCAGTCCCTGCCAGGGAAGGGATTTCCGTTGCTAAGGCCATCTCAGATGTCCCCTCTTCTGTGAAGCCTTCTCCGCCTCACACGAGCAGCTTCCTCAGCTCTGCTCCCAACTCTTGGCATTCACCTCTGTTAGAGCAAGGCTCAGTTTATCCTGCTTCCCCTGCGAGGCTGTGGGGCATTCAGGGCAGGGCTGTGTCTTATGCACCTTTATGGCACAACACAGGACACACAGTGACATACTGGTTGTATGTGCTGCTTTGACCAGCTAAGAGTCTATTGGAAAGCGTGATCAGTAGTTCTGATGCTGGACTCCGAGTGTGGCTCACTACTGCTGGGTGCAGCCAATGGCTCCTTCTGGATCCTTCCCTTAGCTCGGGATGTCCTTCCTTCTTCCCCTCCCCACCTCCTCTCTCCCCTTCTGATTGTCCTGCTCCCTCTGTCTCATTCATTGACTTGGACAGAAAGTTTCCATTGCCTGCTGAATTATCGTCCAGTAGGGTTTTCTTTAGAGAGGGCAGCATGGCCGAATGAAAAGACAAGCAGGAGAGCCCAGTGGGCATTGCCACATCTTGGCATCGCCACCTACCAGCTGTGTGACTTTGGACAAGTCAATTTGACATCTCTGTGTCTTAGTTTCTGCAACTGTGAGAATGGGAGCAATAACACTTGCTTTTCTGGGTCGCTTGGAAGATAAATGAGATAATAGGTACAATGGTACCCCAAATAAATTAAGGCACATAGTAGGTATATACTAAACATTAGTTTATTCCTTTGCCCCCTGTTGCTAATTTTAAAAGTTAACATGATTGGATTTTATTTTTTTATAAAAAAATCCAATTAAGTTGTTTTGTACTTGTACATTGAGACTATTGATTTTTTCCCCTATGGGTCAATGGCACTCAATAGAAAAAACAAAACAGTTTTCTGAAATATTGAGATAATAAAACTGAAGTACTTCCTCATTCACATTAAGTTAATACTCACCCTGAGCAAGAGGAGCATAAAGAAGGTGTCCAGGGTTCACCCTGGACACACATTAGAGTCATATGAGGGAACTTCTAAAAAATGCTGGTGCCTGGGTCTCAAGCCAGACCTGTGGGAACCTTTGGGGGTTATTATTTTTTAAAAAGCTTACCAAAGAATTCTCCCATCCAGCCACACTGAGAAACATTGTTACAAACTCTCACGTTCTGATTTAATTAAGTTGAATTCTTTTTCTTAAAATTTAAGTACAGTTGGTATACATTATTATATTAGTTACATTAGTTTCAGGTGTATAATATGATTCAACGTTTTCATACTTTACAGTGTGATCACCCCACTAATTCTAATAATCATTTGTCTCTGTGAAAATTTGTCACAGTATTATTTACTATATTTCCCTTCACCTTTTCATCCATCCCACCAATCCCTCCCTTTTGGTAACCATCCCTTTGGTCTCTGTTCTATGAGTCTGTTTTTGTTTTGTTTGTTCATTTGTTCTTGTTTTGCTTTGTTGTTTTAGATTCCACAATATAGGTGAAACCATACAGTATTTGTCCCTCTCTGCTTGACTTATTCCACTTAGCACAATACCCTCTAGATCTACCGCAAATGGCAAGAGTTCATTTTTCTTTTTTTAAATTCTCATCCATGGACATGCTTAGAGAGAGAGAGGGAGGAAGGGAGAGAGAGAGAGAGAGAGAGAGAGAGAGAGACACTGATGTGAGAGAAAGAGACATCCATCAGCTGCCTTTTGTACATGCCTCAACCAGGAGTCGAACCTACAATCCAGGTATGTGCCCTGACCAGGAATTGAACTGGCAACCTTTTGGTGCACAGGACAACGCTCAACCAACTGAGCCACTCCTGCTGGGCTTCATTCTTTTTTATGGTTATGTAATATTTCGTGTGTGTGTGTGTGTGTGTAACATCGTTATCTATTCATCTATTGATAGACATCCAGGTTGCTTTCATATCTTGGCAGTTGTTGCTGCATATATCTTTTTGAATCAGCGTCTCTGTTTTCTTTAGATAAATTTACAGAAGTAGAATTGCTGGGTTGTATGGTAATTCTATTTTCAGGTTTTTGAGAGATCTTCATATGGTTTTCCATAGTAGCCGCACCAATTTGCAGTCCCACCAATAGTGTACAAAGGTTTCCCTTTTCTCCACATCTTTGCCAAAAAAATACAAATAAGTTAAATTTTCTATGGAGACTCCCCTGCCTCTAGAAGCTTTGGATGGAGAGTAACAGCTCTAGAGTGCCACTGGTTGCAGTGACTTTTCACTTTCTACCAGTGCTGAAGCCTTGAGGTGACAGCTGCAAGGACGAGTGGGACACAAGGCAGGAAAGAGCCAAGTGGATGCCATTTTCTGTTATCAGTGGCCTTGAGCTACGCACATGGGATACTCTTAATGCACTCTGCTTTATCAACACAGCAAGCAGGAGCCAGAAGAACCATTTAACACATAATTACATGCCTAATCTTGCGTAAAATTGTAATTCTAATGACATCACAGCAGCAACTTAAAAGGTCACTCAAAGCAAAGAAATTTAGGAACGCTTCTAATGCATGGGACTTCATCTTCACAGTCGGCAAATTACATGTACTCCATAGGAACTGAGTTGTTTTGGCTTCAGGACATTTGGAGGAAGAAGCCAAATGTATGGTGCTAATTTTAGACCTAGTGATTTAATTTAGAAAACATTGGTACTTTTTTTTATTAAGAGTGGTTTTAAATGTCATTGTGATGTTTTCTTCCAAAATGAACTACTGCACCTTGTTTTAATTAATTCATTTGGGCATCTGCTTTACAACATTTATTAAGTTCCTTCCATGTGCCAGGTGCTGTACTGGGTACTGCAGGCACCACACCACCCACTTCTGTTTCTGAGGAGTACAGTCCATGCTTGATCAGAATATCAAATTGACATTCACACTACACCAGAACCGCCCTTTTTAGAGGTGTTATAGTTACTTGTCTCTCCTCATCTTATTTAACCTCTCAACTTACTGAACTTGATATCAATATCATTGGTCATTTCCTTCTACTAAAAATGACTTACAGGACAATGCTCTCTTGGTTTTTGTTTTCACTCTCTA